ATAGGTTCTAAAAACCAAGACAYCAAGAAAAAAATATTATCKAGATCAGGGCTGGGCAAACTTTGTCCTTCCAGGCATTTTGGACTTCAACTCCCACAATTCCTAACAGCCTCAGGCCCTTTCCTTTTCCCCCTCAGTAAGCTGAAGGGTATAAGGAAAAGGCCTGAGACTGTTAGGAATTGTGGGAGTTGAAGTCCAAAATGCCTGGAAGGCCAAAGTTTGCCCAGCCCTGATCTAGATGTTGTTGGATTCCAACTCTTCTCAGCCTAGGCAACATGACCAATGGTGCAGGGTTTGCCTTTGCCTTTCTCTGTGGCTGAGAGAGTGTGACTTACCCACTTTTCACTGCCAGTGGGGATTTGGACCATGGTCAAAAGTCAGGAGGGAAGGGCAGATCTAACCTCTTTAGGGAGGGAGTTCCACAGCCGAGGGGCCACCACAGAGAAAGCCCTGTCTCTCGTCCCCAACAAACGTGACTGTGATGGTGACAGGACCGAGAAGAGGGCCTCCCCAGATGATCTTAAAGTTCTTGATAGTTCATTGGGAGAGACACGTTCGGACAGGTAAAGTGGGCCAGAGCCATTTAGGGCTTTATAGGTCAAAATCAGCACTTTGAATTGTGCTCGGAAGCTAATAGGCAGCCAGTGGAGCTAGTGTAACAAGTGTGTTGTGCGCTCCTTGTACCTCGCTCCCATAAGTAACCTGGCTGCCAAGCATTGGACTAGCTGAAGTTTCCGAGCAGTTTTCGGAGGCAACCCAACATAAAGCGCGTTGTAGTAGTCTATTCGGGATGCTACAAGAGCATGGACCACCGTGGCCAAGTCATTGAACATTTGCCTTATATATGTAAAACTGTAATCTGCTCTGAGTCCTTCCAGGGAGATAAAGCAGAATATAAATAAAGTATAGCATTATTATTATTATTATTATTATTATTATTGAGTTGTTGTAGTTTTTTCAGGCTGTATGGCCATGTTCTAGAAGCATTATCTCCTGACATTTGGCCTACATCTATGGCAGGCATCCTCAGAGGTTGTCAGGATGCCTGCTGTAAATGCAGGTGAAATGTCAGGAGAGAATGCTTCTTGAACATGGCCATACAGCCCGAAAAAACCTACAACAACCCAGTGATTCCGGCCATGAAAGCCTTCAACAACACATCATCATCATCATCATCATCATCATCATTATTTGAAACACAAGATGAGTCCACAGCAGACACTCTGCTGGCTGTTGAATTGGATCACACGTCGGACACTTCCCAAGTGTCTAGGACTGTGTGATGTATGATGATGATGATGATGATGATGATGATGATGATGATTATTATTAGGATGTTGGTCACTTTCTCATTTTTTTCCAGGCTCAACTTCATTTCAACCCATTGTTAATCAGTTTGCATTTTTTAAAAAGCTAACACACAAAAATCACATCCATCTACCTGTCTTATAGCATATCAGTTTTTGTACTCACTTGCCCTAATGTGCAGATATCTTTTTCCACCCATTACCCCCAATGAAAGCTGTTGTTTCATGCTGTTGTGCATGCACGGTTTTCTCACCTTATATTCCTGTATGCATTTTGGTTTGGACAACTGTGTTGCTAATGCAGAGAAATGCTATGCGTAAGGTAAAACAGTGATTCAGTTGGGTTGTTGTAGGTTTTTTTGGGCTATATGGCCATGTTCTGGAGGCAAATTGCCTCCAGAACATGGCCATATAGCCCGGAAAAACTTACAACAACCCAGTGATTCCGGCCATGAAACCCTTCGACAATACAGTGATTCAGTTCATGTATTTGGAAAAACCCAAATGAGGTCAGTTTCCATTAAAATGCAAAACAAATTTCTCCCTCCTCCTTTGCATTTCCCCTGTGTTACCAGTATGCCTTAACATTGCTCCGTAACTTTCCAACAGCATTTTCCGCCCACTCAGATTATATTGAGGTTTGAAGATGCTCATCTGTCGGAAAGCCTGCTGCTTTGATCGCCTACAAAGACTGAAAGTGTCTCTTTTGTATTGTCATTTTTAAGGATACTCAAGAGGAGTCATAGATCACCAGGAAAACTAAAAAAGATTTTTGAGGGGTGGGGAGAGTGAAGCATCCAATATATTGCATCTAAAAATCTTGCCTGTTGCCTCGAGCTCCCATGGTGACAAGGGATACCATTCTCAGGTGATAAAAATAGATGTCGCGCAAGCTAGCCCAAGCTGCAAACCTGTCACACATCGTGAGAACAAACTGAAGCACCTATAGCCCCACCACATTATTTCAACATTCTCACATGAACCTCTATGAGCCCAGCTGGACTGTGCCACTTGAAAGCTCAGGGGTTTTGAGAGCAAATAAAATAATTGACAAAAGTGTCCATATGCTATGCAGGTATATCCATAGAATCATAGATCTGGAAGAGGCCACAAAGGCGACCCCTATTCTACAATACAGGAATACTCAATCGAAGTTCCCCCAGCAGATGGTCATCCAATCTCTGCTTAAACATCAACAATACAGAAGTATAAAAAATCACATAAAAATTATAAACCACCACTATAAACACATAAAATAAAATACACAATTTAAAAACAATTTCCATCAATGGTTAAAACTAGCTGACATCAATACACAATTAAAGTCCCTAAGTGTCAACCTAATATAGGCCCATTTCAACCTACTTGATGCCAAAGGCCTGTTTTTCAAAAACAGCTTCCAGACCTTAGTTGCCCTGGCCCATGATTAAGGTTGTAAATATTAGGCTTGTTTGATCAAGAAAAAATTTGGTTCTAAACTCGCTTCGTTTCCAGGGGGCGTCAGTGTTTCGAATTTCAGAGGACTTCCGAAATTTAAGATTTCAAATTTTTGAAATTTCCGAAATTTTGTTAATTACGAATCAATTCGTTAATGGCGGACGCGATTGCGCAATGCGCAAAAAACACCTCCAAACGGGACAGGGGGAACTTCTGAAGCATCCCTCTCCCTCTGTTGCTGACTGTTGGTGATAAAACTTACAACTAACAGAAACCAAATTAAAATAAATTCAGGATGAAATTAAAATACATTAAGTTAGTAAAAATACAAATTAAAATCACTTAAAATTAATAAAATAATAAAATAATAAAATAATAAAATAATAAAATAATAAAATAATAAAATAAATAATAAAATAATAAAATAAAATAATAAAATAAAATAATAAAATAAGTAATAAGATAATAAAATATCTCCAGGAGGAGGAGGAGGAGGAGGAAAGGCAACGCTGGCACCTTTTCTCTCCTTCTTTCCCGTCTTAATAATTACGAAATAATTACGAAAATTTAGAAAAATTGTTTCGATTCTTAATTACTCCTCACACTATTCCTGCATGGCTCAATATTGGATTGTAAGCTAATTTAAATACAAATTAATAACAACTTTAGAAACTAATGAACACGATCAAACAAGCCTAGTAAATATCCTTCTCATGGTGCCCAGAACTGGACACAATATTCCAAGTAAGGTCTGAACAAAACATAGCAGAGAACATGAATACTTTCCTCCACTATGGCACTATATTTCTGATCACATCATTATTCTTCCTCGAGCATACCCAAAGGTCATTGTACCATTTCAGAGCATTGGTAACTAAAACTTGCATCATAGAACACTTTCATCCATTACACAAAAGCAGACTTGGATCTTTCAATGAACATGGAAGATCTTGGCCTCCAATCTTGAGTCTATTGGGAAATACACTCTTCCTGTCATGTTTTTGTATTATTCCTGTTTCTCTGTGGTTTTACTTCATTTATGCCCCATCTCTTCCCCAGTACAAGATCCAAGACAAGTTACATTATATACCCAATCAGAATGCAGATAAATATCAACCATCATAGTAAAGCAATAATAATACATGAACTACCCAAATAAAGCAGCACCGAATGGAAAAGTGTCAAACCATTTAAAACACAGCAGATGAGACAGGACTCCTGCATTCAAAATCCTTGCACTGCAACATTAATGCCAAAAAAAACCCATCTAATGAAAAATATCTTAGTGGGCATGAGAAGAAGCTCAATGGTCCATGAACAACCATCAAGAAGGTCATATCCAGGGGAACAAAATGATGACATTGGTCCCACAAATAAGAATTATGTCTCACTCCAACAAAATTTTCCTTCAATCCTCACATTTCTAACACTGCAGAGATGACATACTAGAAAGCCCTCAAATCTAGGACTGTTAATATTTGCTGTATTCAGATCCCCTTAGTAACGATGCCTTTCATCTTTCTTTGGAAGCCTAAATTGTTTTTCTAAATGCTCAGTTGATATTTTAAGTAACTAAAATCCTAGAAAAAACTGTTTTCCCCAATTTTCTGTGGTTTTTTTTCAGGTCTTCCCATCTCTAATCAAAGCATCTATGAACAGATGAGTTACGCTATGCATTAGGGGAGAGACTATCTACTTCAATAGAATTGCAAGCGTAAATGCAATTTTTAGTCTTACGTGGAGCAGAATCATTGAATCAGTGCTAAATTGGGAAGCCAATGTGTATGTATGTTCCATTGATTCAGTGGGTCTGCTTTGTTTGGGGCCAACAAATGGATAGGTTACACTTATCTGTTGCATATATTCCATGAGATTGATCAGAAGGATGCAATCAAAACACATCTGATTTCTGATAGATTTCAGAGCAACTATTCTACTCCATATTGTGGGTAAAACCAGTTTAGCACAAATTCTCAGTGATCCAATGTTCATTCAATGACCACAGTTTCTTTATTTTGCGCCCCTTCTACACAACTGTATAAAACCCACATTATCTGCTTTGAACTGGATTATAGGGCAGTGTAGACGAAGATAATCCAGTTCAAATCTCATAATGTGGATTTTCTGCTTTGATTACCTAGATGATCTGGCAGTGTAGAAGGGGTCACAGCTAGACATTAGACAAACTCTTAAAATCCACGGAGGAAATCATTAAGCAAAACTCTTCATAAGAAATGTGAAAACCATTGTACTTACAGCCAACCATCATCATGGCCACTGAAAAGATCTTCTCTCCATCAGTGGTTGGAGCTATGTTTCCAAATCCTATTGTCGTAAGGCTTGTCATGGTAAAGTAGAGCGAAGTTATATAAAGCGAGTCTTTACTGGGTCCTCCTTCCCACTGTCCTCTTCCTGTAGTGTTGTACCGATACGGTGTTCCAATACTCTCTGCCAACTGGCAAAGCCAGCTGTCCTTTTTGAGAGTATTGGTGATTTCATCAATAACCTCATAGTCCCCGATGCTGTACCATATACAAGCTAGCCAATGGGCCACTAGTCCAAAGACGCAGACCAAGAGCACCAGCACAGCGGCACCGTATTCCAGATAATGGTCCAACTTGCGGGCAACACGCCCCAATCGCAGAAGGCGCACCACTTTCAAGGAACTGAAGAGGCTGCTGATCCCCTAGAAGAAAAGAAAAAGGTTTATATGTATTGTCGAAAGCTTTCATGGACGGAATCACTGGGTTGTTGTAGGTTTTTCAGGCTATATGGCCATGTTCTAGAAGCATTCTCTCCTGATGTTTATATCCTTGAAAACACCATGCTGACCCAAATGAGAGAAGGTTTGGGTGAGGGATGTTACTATTCAATATATACCAAAGGGTTCATAGGAAATTGCTTAGTATCAAGTCAGGTTCTCAGTCTACCTAACCTGGTACTATCTATGCTGATTGCTATAGCTGACCAAGGGTTTTCTTACTTGCCTAGAAAACTTTTTAACCACCGGCGTTAAATCTAGGACATTTTGTATGCATAACATAAGAAGGGCCTTTCTTCTTAGGTGACTTGAGCTCCTGCTTTGGGGAAAAGGTAGAGCTCAAGATCATGCCACTCACTGGGTCACTAACACGCATGCAGAATACTATGTGGGGACAAACAGAAAAATCAGAGCCTAAAATAACCCAGGGATGTAAAGAAAATGAGAAATAGGTAGGAGGACACATTGCATTTGGCAGGGAAGAGAGACAGGGCCTTCTCAGTGGTGGCCCCTTGCCTATGAAACACCCTCCCTAGGGATATAAGATAGGCTCCCTCTCTTCTAACATTCCGCAAAAGCAAGCTTTTTCTACTGGAGCATAATTGGACGTAAACAAATATATGGCATGACTGACGATGCAACTGGACAACGATTGTAGTAAGGAGACACCGAGGATCTTGTTTTTGCAGATATTTTGCTTTATATATTGCATTTTAAACGTTGAATTGTTTTTATAATTGTTTTAACTGTATTTTGTTATATGCTATGGCATCAAATCACTTTTGACTGTGAACCGCCTTGAGTCGCCTCTGGTTGAGAAAGACAGTATATAAATGCAATAAATAAATAATATAATAAATAAATTACCCTAAGCTCATCCAAGCTGGGAAATATTTAAGTAAAAGTATCTTTTTAAAAAAGTTGGATGTTGGAATGTTTCGGGGGATCAAAAACAGACTTTGTTTCTAAATGACAACCACACTGCCTGTAGTATTGTTGTTATGTACCTTCAAGTCATTTCCATGGTTTCTTGGCATGGTTTGTTCAGAGGAGATTTGCCATTCATTACCTTCCTTTGAGGAAGGAACACAGAATCAAAGCATCCCTGACAGATGGCCATCCAGCCTCTGCTGAACATCCTCCAGAGAAAGAAACTCCAGTGGGATGCCATGAAGGACCAAAGATTCAAACCCTGTCTTCAGAGTTGTAGTTCAACACTCAAAACACTATCCCACATTCACAGTGCATACAATACATTTCTTTGCAATATAAGTGGTCTGTTCATCAATTTGTTTTATTTACAGAGCTTATGCATGCCTTCAAAGTCTCAAGTTCATTAAAATAATTATTCTTTACCCCTTTCCAGTCGATATGCTGAATTTGTGTCTGAATGGGGCAGAAATTGCGTCTGAATGGGGCACATTTAAGATCCAAGGAAGAGCTTTAATTATTTTCTAGTGTATTCATCAAAGTCAATCAACCTTAATTGCTATCAGCAAGCTTATGAATGGTGAGAATATTCAAAACAAACATGAAACATGGTTGAAAAATGAGTTTGTCTACCTTGACAAGGACAATTCTAAATGGTTAAGAAAATGTGCAAGTGGTGGCTTATTCCTTGCAAAAATGCACATTGATTTTTTGCAAGAAAATCAGTATTATTATTGTTATTATTATTCCTAAACATTTATGCAGTGCTTTATGTACAGAAAATAACACATTTTTCAAAACTTGCACATTTGTGACAACTTTCTCAGAGCAAATTCTTCCTCCCTGGAAGAATTAATTTTTTGAAGATTTCCATAGCCAGGCAAACCTTAGGTTAATTTGCCTCTAAACCTGTACTAATGATTTCATTTATTTTTATACTATAGTATGATCCCTTTGGGGACACATTCCTAAACTACTGTGGTAAGAGGATACTATGGATAAAAACAAACCCATCTAAAATAAATTACTTCCACCAGAAGTTACCATAAGGTCATTGCAGAGGACTGAGAAAATTCCTATAGAGGTGCTTTCTCTACAAATTTGCTAGGTCCTCCATGACTACTGCAAAACACTCTGTGTGGGGTTGCCTTTGAAGACTGTTCAGAAGTTTCAAGTAGTCCAACGGGTACAAGCCAGATTTCTCACTGGAGCAGGGTACAGGGAGTATACAACTCCTGTTATGTCAACTCCATTGGCTGTCAGTCTGCTACCAAGTACAATCCAAAGTGCTGGCTTCAGTCTATAAAGCCCTTAACAGTTCTGGCCTAACTTACCTCTCCAAATGTATCTCCCTCTATGAGCCAGCTAGGAGGTTGAGCTCTTCTGTGGAGGCCCTGCTCTTGGTCCCGCCTCTTTCACAGGCAGGACTGGTGGGGATGAGAGACAGGGCCTTCTCAGTGGTGGCCCGTCAGCTATGGAACTCCTTCCCTAATGAAATTAGATCAGCCCCCTCCCTCTTGACCTTCAGGAAAAGGCTAAAGACATGGATGTGGGATCAAGCATTTGGTTAGTAACCCACTAGTGCAATAAGAGAATATGGAATAGTGCAATGACAATTTGGAATGGCCATGGACTATGATTTTGGACAACGTGATTTTAAATAAGTGGTTTTAAGGATTTATTTGTTTTTAATGATTGTTTTAATGTAGATATTTATTTTACGATATATGTTTGTATGGCATCGAATTGCCTTGAGTCCCCTATGGAGTGAGGAAGGCAGGGTAAAAATATGGTAAATAAATAAATAAAATTATGTTAACTTCTGTGTTGTCGAAGGCTTTCATGGCTGGAATCACTGGGTTGTTGTAGGTTTTTTGGGCTATATGGCCATGTTCTAGAAGCATTCTCTCCTGACATTTTGCCTACATCTATGGCAGGCATCCTCAGAGGTTGTGAGACCATAGATGCAGGCGAAACGTCAGGAGAGAATGCTTCTAGAACATGGCCATATAGCCCAAAAAACCTACAACAACCCTATGTTAACTTCTGGTGGAAGCATACGATAGAATCACCTTTAGACCTAGAAAATTGTTACCAAAGGCATCATTTGTTGGATGTGGATAGGTGAAGCCACAGACACCTGTCCTGCGAATATGAGGTGTTTTGGGATATGGTTACCTTCAGATTCTGCTGAGTTCAAACTGACTGCAGGAGGTTGCTTACACAGTGCTTACAGCAGGACATAAGCCTAACCAGAGCTTAATTAGCCATCCTGGGGAGTGTCATATGCTGCTGGTACGCACTCATGACTGATTTACAAATCAGGGTTTTCGCTGAGCTGTTGTTGTTCTTTGAATGACCATCTGCCTCGTGTTGGAAGTTGTACATCTAGCAATTAGGAATCAAAAGGCTCTTATTTATTGTAGCTTTCCACTCTCTCCCTTTGTACTTGCAAACACAATGATATGGGGAGGGGGAGCAGTCACTTTGGAATTCAGAAGCAAGACAGAAGCAAAGAAATAACATAATTCCACAGCACAAGACCTAGCAGCAGCCAAAGACGTTTCATTTCACAGAAGGCAACGGAGTAAGCATTCATTTCTTCTTTGCCAGTTTTAAATTGCCCTTTTCTGTGCATCATTATCAAATCAGTCTAGTCAAAATGTTGGGTAATTACATGATCAAGCCATAAAGCACTGGAGTTTATTTCAGCATAGGGATAAAACAAGTTCTTTTCTGCAGCTGGAACATTTTTCTTTCTCTCTCTTATGAGTCTTACACAGACTCTAAATGATAACATGACCATTTGGGGGTTTCTTATCCCGCTTGGCTAATTTAGAGATCAGCAACTAAAAGCCACAGGGCAAAGTCCAACCACGTGTGAGCATTTTCACCCCCAAATGTCAAGCCAAATTAAGAAAACGCAGGTAGAAAGAATCAACTAATGTGCTGCTGAAAGAGGGAATGTATCATGAAAATGGAAGGCAAAAAATGAGAGTGATAAATCTGTCCTCAAATTGCATATGTTAATTCATTTGGCTAGATGCACATTTTGAAAACATTACAGAAATGCAGTTCTCCATTGCGGGGAGGGTAAGCACAGAGCAGAATCTATGTTGCATAGTTAAACTATACTTTTAATTAAATCCATTTAAAATCATGGGATGTGTAGTTTGATGGGTACTGAAAATTGTCTAGGATTGAAAGTTCTGGTGCTGAATATCTCTAGCAGAGATGTCTAAAGCAGGATTACTATTGGATAATCCCTACTGGCACAGTGGGTTAAAGCGTTGAGCTGCTGAACTTGCTGACTGAAAGGTCGCAAGTTCGAACCTGGGGAGCGATGTGAGCTCCTGCTGTTACCCCCGGCTTCTACCAACCTAGCAGTTCAAAAACTCACATGCAAATGTGAGATCGATAGATACCGCTCCAGTGGGCAATGGCACTCCATGCAGTCATGCTGGCCACATGACCTAGCAGGTGCCTACGGACAACGCCAACTCTTCAGCTTAGAAATGGAAAAGAGCACCAACCGTCAAAGTCAGACATGACTGGGCTTAATGTCAGGGGAAAACCTTTATCTTTACCTACTTCCAATTATCAAGACACATTGGATCAATTGTTAACACACACACACACACAGTTGATCCAATTGCTTTATTCCAGTGAAAACTACCAATAGGTTTTAGGTCTAAGTCTTTCATTCATCATTGTTAATGACATCAGGTCAGCATCAACTTATAAAGACCCTATGAACTAAGTCACCCTGTCCTCAGCAGCTCTGCTCAGGTCTTGCAAACTCAGGGTTGTGGCTTTCTTGATGAATTCTAACATCCCGTAACCCAGTCTTCCTCTTTTCTTACTGCCTTCTGTCTTGTGTGTATGTGCTTTCAAATTGTCTCCCAATTCTTAATAATCCCATGTATGTCATTAGGTTTTCTTAGACAAGGGATACTCAAGAATGATTTTGCTAGGTCCTTAGTCTCAAATATAGT